ATATTGCCACTAGAGTAAAAAAAGAACGACCTAAACACACACACCCATGAACGAGGAGGTTACACTTTTTTAATTATAAAAAATGAGAGCAAATAAATGATAATAGTATAAAGAAAGTAGACAGGATAAAAAAAAAATTATCTTATTTAATCTTTCTAAAGTATTTCCAATTAATAATATTACCATTTTCTTCGTCAATGCATGCATTTATTGGGCCATATGCATGGTTTTGTCAAGTCTTTCTTAATCATCCATTTTAGCATGGATCATACCTCTTTTCCTAACTGTTTAGTCCACAATTGAAACATTTGAAATCTTAGCTTGAACATATTAACTTTTGCAATTAATTAAGATCAAAGTTATGATACATTTTGTCGATCGTTAAAAAAAAAAAATTAATAACATTCACTAGTGTACATAATTTGTTGCGGTTACAAGCAAACTTTGGCCTAGAAAATAATAATAATTTTCCTCTCCGGTCTAAATTAAGATGTAAATATTTTTGTTCTACAATTTTGAATAGATCAAATTGAACTGCTGCATCGCACTACACATTGGCCTTTGAATATTTAAGTTTCCTATATATTAGGAAAACCAGAAGTACTATTTATTTTTTTATGTATAGTGTGGGAAACGGATCAATATAATCTTTGTTAGTAGTAACACGTGACTTTTTTAAAAAAAAATTATATATATATGACTTGGTCCAGGTAGTCATGGTTCATGCTTTAACAAGATGGTAATTTCTTCCTTTGAAAATGTCATTTTCAAAATATGACACCTTATCCATAAAAAATGCAATAAGAGAAATGAAATGAACCATTAAAACATAATATGCCTTGAATTCCATAGGAAAAATAGAGACGTTAACTTAGAATTTAAAGTTTATCGATTATACAGTGATACAATAGTCAATCGAGATTAGAGATTGGAACGAGACATTGATGTAATGGAGTGGAATGATTAATCATTTTTTGTTAGAAAATTACGTGTGTTTTTTTTAATTAATTGTTGAATATTATTAACATAAATAAAGAAGAGCCAAATGAAAGAAATCACATATTTTTAAGATAAAATTACCATTTGTCCCTTATAAGGTTATAATTACAAAAGTCCCTCAAGCTGATACAATAATATAAGCGCTCATACACTAATTTGATGAGCAAGATATATTAATCGTTAAGTAAGATATAGTAAATTTTATACATAATACACTAATATGAAGTACATTTTATACATGATACACTAATCTAATGCACGAGATACACTAAGCAGATGCGCGAGATACACTAATTTGATGCGCTGATACATTAATATGATGCGTGAAAATGAGAAATTGTAAAACTATTAGGGGTTAATGATAATAAGAGAACTTGAATGTGAAATTTCAGTCATTTTTCCATAAAGAAATGTTTACAGTATAATGACAAAGATTTCAAAAAATGTCTAATAATATAAGGACTTTGAATTGTCGAAAATAAAAATTAGGCAAATCATATAGTCTAAGGGACAAATTACTTTCTATCCCTACTCTTTCACTATTTACCAAAAATTCCTTTTTTTATAGTATTTCGGATACATAATATTACAGAACGATACTTTATCAATTAATGCGTAAAAAAGGGGATAAAATTAACCCCACAAATCACGCGGACATTTAATAAATTTAACATCCAGTCTGCATAAACCTCTAACTGATTTGGGCATTTTTGAATTTCAAATTGTGAAACCTTCTCATTGTTCTTTGAAAAAATAGTAAAAGTTTGTTTCAAAAAATTCTGGAACGCCAATTTGTGAAGATTCAAAAATGAATATTTCGATCTTGTTAAGGCATGGATCATGGGAAAGTGATGCTATATACGAGTGATACAAAAGTGATGGGATAGTGGTTGGAGAAAATATTTCGTTCTTGAATCTTATTTCAGCAATTGACGGCTTCGTTGGGTATTGATAATTCGAAAAGAAATATCGAGATCAGATAAGTTGTTGAATGTAATTCGTCTCCATTATATTATTGTTTAATCAAATGAAAAAAACGTGTTAAATATCTCTAATTTATAAACAATTGCAGGTTGTTGCATCTTTTGATTTTATTTTTTTAGAGTATGAAGGTGGGATAAAATACATCGTTTGTCTTGAGAGGAAAACTTGTTCATGTGATAGATTTCAACATGACGAGATGCCTTGTCCGCATGCAATAACCGTTTTGAAGAAGAAAAATATAACAAATGTGCACCCTTATTGCTCTGATTACTATAAACATGATGCATTATCAAAATGTATAATAATACTAAATATATCGAATTTGATTATTTTGTATCAAATGTAATTTTACTAAGATATATCGATAAGCTATTTAGTCTCATTTACATTAAACATCAAATATATTATGTATCTGCTAACAAAATTTTGTTTGTTATTATGATTTAATCAAAGTTATATACTAAATATATTAAGTGAATTATTTTGTATCAATTGTTGCATATACACAAATTTATATTTTTATAATAAAATGTGTATCAAATACTTAATAATTTTATGGATATTGTGTATTTGATGATAATATAGTATCAGACGTTGTGATTTACTTCAAGGCTACCACATGTTAATATATACTACTTAAATTGAAAATCAATTTGTTTAACAGGTGTATAGAATATAGTGTCAGATATTCTGTATACGATGGTAATATTGTATCAACAGTATTTGTGTAAATCATACTTATAAAAAATAATTTATAACAAGTTACTGTAAATTAAATTATATAATTGGAGACAAAAATTTAAATTGAAATACATTTCTTGACAAATAACATTCTTCAAATTAATACTTACTTAGTAAGATTGTGTTGGAAGGATAACTGATAATACGAAATACTAATTAACGTAACTTTAACACAATAAAAACCTAACTATTCTACGTTAATCAGTCCACCTTCTGCTGGCATAGTGTAGCCACTCTTTGGCCTTGTAGAATCTTCAGTATTGCTAACATATCCAGCCTTGACTTTGTCGATATCATACTTTGATCCTTTATTGAATAATTTCATACCTTGATCTTTTATTGATAGTGCTAAATGCTCAATAAAGTTGGAGTTGTAGGTAGGACCAAACTATAGAACGTTCCTTAGAATATATTTAATCATATTCTGCAAATTAAATAAATATTTTTATCAATCTCCAATAGATATAAACATTATACAAAATTTCATTAGTCATGATATAAAGTGGCAAAAATAGAAATAGGCCAAAATGATCCTTAAACAGATATATTAGATACATTAATGTTCATGTGCAACATATAAAAGGTAAAAAATTGCATTAGTCGTTATATAAAATGACAAAAATATAAACACGTCAAACTGATACTTAAAAAAGTATCTAAGATACATTAATGTTTATTTGCAAAACATAAAAGTATCACAAAAATCAATATTCCTTATGTGCATTGAAATAGTTGGTACTTTATGAGTTCCGTTCACTTTTAGATACATCAATGTTCATGTATATTGATACTGAATAACACCTACAGGGCAATATGATACTTAAACAATAATATTAGATACATTAATGTCCATGTTATTTGACACTAAATAAAACCTACGGGGCAATATGATACTTAAACAATAATGTTAGATACATTAATGTTCATGTTATTTGATTCTAAATAACAACAAAACATTAAAGTTAAGCATATATATTACATACATTAATGTTCATGTGCAACATAAAAGATATGCAAATACACAAATTTCATTAGTCGTTATATTAAGTTGTAAAAAAATAAATAGGTTAAATTAATACTCAAAAAAGCATCTAGGATACATAATATTCATGTGAAAACATAAAAGTATCACAAAATTCTTGCGTTAAAATGTGTGCAGTGAAAAGTTGATATAGACAATACTTAAATGAAAAAATAAGAATCATCAAACTAAAGAAAAAGATACGAATGAGTGAAAATGTACATACTATAGATAGTGTTGGTCGAATAATTGGAGGTGTCACCTTTCTACCCCTTTTCTTTGGAATTTTCGAATCTTTTGAAGTTAATGCATGTTTGTTCTTTACATATTTTCTCTTACTAGATTTTGGATTTGTCATGACTATTGGGTCATGTGACTTTTTAGAACTCAATTCTTTGATGTTTTTCATTTTGAAATAAAAACTAAATATTTGTTAGAAGTTAGATTGATATTGTAAACAAAAACAGAAAATACACAAAAAAGGAAAAAAAAATAAAGAAATCAGAATGTAGATGATGCTGACCTATTTTTGACTCTAATCCGAATGTATAGGAATAATGTTTCTTTTGAATTTCAAATTTACTTGAAATTGATAACTGAAAATTTTTGGAAATGGAAAAGAGCTAATTTTTAGTTCCAAGGTAAAAAGTAATGGTTTAAAATGTCAAAGAAAAAGTTATAAATTTTAATAAAAGAGTAGGGAATTATTGAGAATAGGAAAAGTAAAGTTGTGTAGTTATTTTTAGGGAAACTTACATAAATGTGCTATAATAAAAAAATATTTATCATTGATAGCAATAACATTTTTTTTTCACTTGATCACTTTTAATTCATTTATAATACAAGTTTAATACATATTACAAAGAACAATTTATTATTCACATATAATACAAGTTTTAATGATGGATGATACATTTATCACACAATTTAATACACTTATAATACAATTTGACCATTTTTACCAAACAAACATAATATATTTTAAAAACATTATAATTCAAAAATATTACATAAATAATTCACTTTTAATACATATTATAGATTTATCACAATATTACTATAAATAATAATAAAAAAAATATCGCTAAAATTAATAATTATTTTTTAAAATGTATTAATTCATATATTTTTTCCTCATTGCTTGTCTAAAACATATTTGGGCTGAAACTCCACTCTTCAAAGTTGAACCATTCTACTAATATTTAAAATATAGTCACCTTTGTAAACAAGATTTAAACAATAGCATCCCTTTTAACCTTTGGCAACACAATCAACCGTGTTCCTGATTCTTTTCTTCTTCTTCGTCTTCCTCTTTGGCATTTTCCTTTCTTATTTATCTACTCTTTCTCCAGAGCAGTGAAAAATAATGGAGAAATTTGAAAGTGAATGAATACGCTATTGATTGATTGCAATATCGAATTTCAGTAGAGGTATGATGAATTACTCCTATTCTGTTTTCTCCATCGATACTGCACAAGATTGTATCTTTAATTAGATTGTTCCATCTACTTTTTATTTATCTAAATATTTATATAAAGGGATTGAATTTTTCTTCGATTTATTTTTTGTGTGTGTTGTTAGTATAGTTTGATTGATCTTCGTTGGGTCTGGAAATTGGAATTCAACTTTCATATCCCTACTCTCTACTGTTATTGTCAATATTTATCTTAATAAAATGATTCTTGTGTTTGGTCGATTTTTTCTTCCCCTGTGGATTCGAGCTGACTCATACGTCCCTACACCATTGACGTAGTGGGGTTTCACAATTCACACTGCATATGCCGAAGAGTTTATGATGATACACCATTGACGTAGTGGGGTTTCACAATTCACACTGCATATGCCGAAGAGTTTAGGATGATTGATGTGACGTGATGCATATGACACGATATTTGATAACCCCAATGAGATTTTTTGGCTTAAATTGTATTGGAAATGTTGAGGAAAAAGAAATCTTTGTTATGGAGATATGGATTTCCTTGCAAAGACTTCGAGGGTAAGTGACTATTTACTCATCGTCAAGCAAAAGATCAAGTACAATTCGAAGCCTATGGAGAAGCAACATTACGTTGTATTCTTTGTGGAGCTTGATGGTTGTTAGTGAAAATGAAGCGTAATAGAGGGGAGCTATGATTTGAAGTTTATGAATTCTAAACTGTTCTACTAAACCCATAGTTCGTTTTCATTACTTGGTTCGCTGTTAAGTAAATGTTTGTACATATTTAATGGATCTCCTAATACAAATATAAGGACTAAGCAAAAGCTACTAGGTTCTTCCGAACTTGTACCTAATGTTGTAGCTCCGCTCTTTTATGCCATGATAAGCTTCTTTTGGTGCTAAAAAGAAATTAGCGGTCTTATTATCTAAAATAGATAGATCTCTAGATTAGAAGAGCTGATATAGGCATATAGCAGCTGTTGCAAAGACAGATTTGAGGATTGTTGCTAAGCTGTACTTGTCTTGAAAGAAAGGAAATGCTGAACGAGAGCAAGATTCACAACATTTTCATTAGATCTTCTCAGATTCTCCAGAAACTAACACGCCTCACAAGTAACGAATTCCTCATCATCTAGATTCCTCCTCCTTCTCCCATAGTCTAACTAGGTTTTGTTCAACTGGATTAGCATTACCCGTTATACTTGATAAATTGGGTACGCCTAATCCTATCCTAATAACCACCTTATCTGTGCAACTTTTGAGCCTTGAGCAAGTAAATCCTTTACGACAGTAATGCTGCAGAAATTACTCTGGCCAAGTTTTGGATACATGACCCTTGGTTAGTTGGTGTGATCTCTCTCTAAATCTTTAGTGGGGATGTGCGAGCATGTTCTTTTAATAAAAGATATGCTTTGTCAAGGATTAATAACTGAAATACAGAAAAAATGTTAACAGTGTTTGAGGTAAAAACAAATTGTGAGGCAGGTGTCTTACTGCCTCTCCATCCATTGTGAAGAACTTTCTCTATGTTGTCATGTGCTTGTGTTCTCCTATTGACTTAAATATAACTTTTATTGATTGGTAATTTGATTTTCTTTATTGCTAATCTCTATATGTCTACATTGAGAACTTCAGAAAAGAGTGCAGGCTCCTGTTACATTTAACTTAAAGATGGAAATCCATTTTTGTGTGCAGTTCATCTCCATGTTTCTTTAAGTAAAATGACATATTTGCATATATATCTCTATTGCATCTCAGTCCGTCGTCTGACCTCTCTTTCTGTACTCCTTGGTATCTTTGTATCAACCTTTTGTTGTCCAACCCAATCTAGTCTATTTCTCCCTGGAAATAATGATCTCACTGTCCCTTCGGGGTAGCCCAGAGCTTGGGACTTCCATTTTGGAGGTCTCAAGTTCGAAACCCCTTGCCAGCGAAAGCAAGGGGTTTGCCTTCTGGGTCGAGCTCGTCGCACCAGGCTTGCCTAGTGCGGGTTACCTCCCCTATGTGGTTTGCGAGCTATTGCATAGGAGCGGGGTTTTACCTTGTGTACACCCAAAAGGGTAGCGGCTGCGGGTTTCCCATGTCGTCAAAAAAAAATAAATAATGATCTCACTGTTGTTGGTCTGCAAATTCTGAGTATAGTAGTTACTTAACAAATCGATTCAGTGTCACCAGAAATCGTTCAATACAACATACAGATAGATGTGGTGACAACCTGATGTAGGACAAGTCTCATTATACTAGTTTGCTATTTGAGTATAGGGCTAAGCTGATTTTAGATAAAACCAAGTTCATTTGCTTCTATTCTCTGCAATTATGTCGACTGCAGAATGAAGATGTTGGGTGCAATAGAGAAGCATGGAGTGAAATGTTACAAATTTGTAATTTTATTCTGTCCAAAACAAATCTTTACATGTTAAATTCTTCCTAGATTCAACTTTGAGCCTTTCAACCAGCTAATTAAGCGTGATAATGTGTTTAATGACTTCAGTTTCAAACTTTTCAACAAAATGAGACTTTTCTCAGGGCCCAAGTAGGAAAAGGGTTTAACCTTGTTCTTTCTTATTTTGTTTCTATGGAACTGCTTTTCTTGCTGATTAATACCCACTCTGTTTCTGCTCGGTTCCTTCAGCTTCATTTACATTATTTCTCGATATTTGAAGTGCTCGTATTAAAATTCAAATATTGGGGGGAGCATATGAATTGATCAGACATGTACATGTTCAGACAAGTAGCTTCATCTTGTGAAGTGGTCCTTTGTTTGCCCAATGATTGATGAGGGACATTCGTTATCTGCAAACTACTCATCTCTTGCTTGGCCTTATGTCAGAACTTGAATCTCTTATCAGATAACCACCTAAACGTTTAGATCAATATTAGATTTTTTGATTTACGAAGTAATATGATGATTTGTCTTCTGATTGTTGATGATCTAACTTTACTTGACATGGTGCCATTTATTCGATCCAGGCAATTACAGTCACAGTTACTCTGTTGGTCACCTAGCTTTCAGTTTATGAACAAAGGGTAATGGGATCTTTAACCCACCTGCTATCTGCCACATCGGCGGTTACTCTGCGACGTGCATGTCATAAACAGCTACAATTGGTGAAAACCCAAAAAGTGCCAAACCGTATGACCTTTCCATGTATGAGCTGTAAGCCATTCTCTGTCTGCTGCTCAAAGCAGTCTCCATGGGAACCTTCACCTGTCACTTATGTCCCTAGTGACAATATTGAAGATAAATTTCTGGAAGGGTCAAGCAATATATTTGAAACCATGTCTTCCAGTAAACCATCTGAATCTACATTAACTGAGGCTGAAGGGCTCACTGATGCAAAAAACCAGCCACTAATGCAGCTTCAATACCTTCAATGGCCTGTGTGGCTTCTTGGCCCTGCCATTCTCTTAGCCACTGGGATGGTGCCCACTTTGTGGTTACCTATTTCATCAGTTTTCATTGGTCCCAACATAGCCAGCCTTCTTTCCTTGACTGGACTTGATTGTATTTACAATCTCGGAGCAAACCTATTTCTTCTGTTAGCTGATTCTTGTGCTCGCTCACCAGACACCAGTGAAGATTCCACCAGCAAGCCGCCTTTCGGTTATCAGTTATGGAACATGGTCGCGAACATTATGGGTCTAGTCATTCCCTTGGTAGTATATTTTGCTTCTCAGAACAGTTTCCTTCAGCCTCAACTTCCTTTCATTTCTTATGCTGTGCTCTTGGGTCCCTATCTTCTGCTTCTATCTATACAGATACTCACAGAGATGCTGACATGGCATTGGAAGTCACCAGTATGGTTGGTGACCCCAGTAGTCTATGAAGCGTATCGTGTTTTACAACTAATGAGGGGGTTAAAGCTCAGTGCAGAACTCAATGCACCATCATGGATGCTGCATACCATTAGGGGGCTAGTCTGTTGGTGGGTTCTCATTCTTGGCATGCAGCTCATGAGAGTCGCTTGGTATGCTGGTTTCACTGCTCGGGCTCATCAGAAACATCTGCATGCCTTGCCCAGCGCCGATTAGGTCCAAATGATATAACTTCATTTCCGGGTTTAAAGAAAATGGCTGTATATGTAATTCAGTTATTACACACTTCCCTCTTTTCTTTCCATTCCTTGTTATTGTAATGTTATACATAAGAAGTTGGCCTTCAGAGATTACAACAATGATGTATGATACCAGAGAAGAAACAGTAAAAAAGCTTATACATCTAGATAATTGTTTATTGAAAGATGCTTGCAGATTCTGTCTACATATGGACATTGTGCTGTTTGCCTGCTGCATAAACTGTGAAAGGTATAATTCTCATAGAGGTGTTCTTGCTCCCCTCAACACCCACCGCAGCCGAATCTTCTAATTTTGGCTGTGTCGCAAAAATCCTAACAATAACAAATAAATATTAAATAATTTATTTTTATTGTTAAAAAGTTGGAGCTACTTATAGGATAATCTTGGAAGATAAAGGTTTAAAAGATGGTGGGCTGATTGTTGTTGGTTGTTAGTGACTGATCAGTCAAGAATTCAATGGTTGTAAGAAATCATTTGTGGTGGAAATATGACCAAACTATATCTTCCTTCGACTTAAAATGATATGATTGGCAAATGTTTTATTGCTTTTGCTAGCTTTCAAAGTTATCACATGTTTTTATTAATTATTAATAAAATAATCTCACCAGTACATATTAGAAAACTCTAGTTTCTCATTATTGGTTATAGCCTTTATTAGTTAGGTGAGAGAAACATTTTCGATAACCAAAAAAATGATTTTCTTCCTTATAGTAAAGTCATTTTTGTTTGTAAGAGTACTAAAAAGTTATTTTTAATTTGATTTAATAAAAATTTTACTATATATAATATCTGAAAAGGAAGACTCAAAGAAGCTACATGGTAATTAATCGTATTATTAGTTCTAACTAATTTTTATATTTTCTTATTAATAATAGTATTTAATACTCGGAATATTTCATTCAGTCACCATCCAACTTGGTGATGTCAATATCAACCTTTGACAACTAGCAGTATTTTTTAAGGATACTCTTTTTAGCTACAAATCCAATACCATAAATAAACAAGCAAATCACTTATTCTTCCTAAATTCTTAATCAACAAACACATAATTTGAGAATTGTCCATATAATTAACAACTTTTTTAAAAAAAAAAAATCAACAATAACAGCTTGTAAAGATGATGGCTTGGTTTCATTAAAAAAAGGCAGCTAAAAAGGAACCATTAGTGAAATTTTAATACATTAGTTTGTTAATTGTGCTTTTGCGATCACCTTTTGTCTTCGCTTTCTAATGCTAATCCACTGGACCTTTGGCATCGGTAACATTGCTTTTTTACCTAAAATAATTTAAACAAATACGTAAATTGTATGAGAAATAAACTATTAATTTTATTTCGTAAATCAATATTTATCTTACGTTTAGATATGTGATATAAAATTTATCCGACATGTGAATAAAACATGTTATTTAAGAATATTTCTAATCGGCCAAACTCAATTTTTATTTATTTTTTAAAATAATCATGTAGTACTAATAAGTAGAGTAGTGAAAAAATAGCAATTTTTTTTTAAAAAAGAGAAGAAATATAAATATTTTAATATATGCCACCTAACAAGGAAAAAAGCCGCTTACCGAATTTAAACATAACCAGCACGGAAGTCAGTCAAACGACACTATCCCACGTTTCTTACTTGGCATCACTTTAACCATCTCCTCGAGATCCTCGCCCACTTCCGTCGCCGGGAAACCGCTGCTGCTCCGCCCGAAACCGTCATAGAAGTATAATTCCCGGCTGATTTATAAAGTTATAGAAAAGATCCCTGTCGAAATGAGTAACGGGGAGCTACTTCAAATCGAACCAGTAGAAATTACATTTACATGTAACGTTCTCTCTGTTAGAAACTTCTACAACATTTTCTACCTTATTTGAACTTTTCAGATCCGTGTGTTGTTCCCTTTGTTCTGATTTGGTTTTTTTTTTTGGAAAATAGTCGAATTGAAGAAGCAGATCTCATGCTCCTTGCAATTGAGCAACAAATCAGATGACTATGTAGCCTTCAAGGTATCATGGAAATGAACTGCAATGACTTGTTCTTTTTCTTTTTTAATTTTTTGAGATTACAATTTTGTTTTATGTTTTTGGAACTTTTTGGATTTCAGGTGAAGACGACGAATCCAAAGAAGTACTGTGTAAGGCCCAATACTGGAATTGTGATGCCTCGCTCTACCTGTGAAGTCACAGGTCTTTATCTCTCACACTCTTTTCGTTTAAATAAGTCACAGGTCTTTATCTCTCACACTCTTTTCAGTTCCCTATCTTTTTAGTTTTTTTATAGTTAGTACTTCCTCCGTTTAGTCGTTTGGTTGGGAACAAGTTATGCCAAAATTTAGCTATGCTAGGATAACTTAGCCCTATGGTATAAATGGTGCGATAAGTTATGTCAAACAAGACACAAAAAATTTATACCATTATTATGGTTGGTATAAATGGTGCGATAAGTTATCTCAAACATGACAACAACCAAGCAAGACACAAAAATTTTATCTCATCACTATTTATTTTTATCCCTCTACTAAGCACCCGATTGACTATGAGAATTATCCACTGACTCACTTTATTTAGTGTTTGTTCGTTATTGTGTATGCAATTTGAAATACATCCAAAATCCTGTTTTTACTTCTTTTTTTTTCATTTTCAGCTTTTACTTCTTTTTTTTTTCAAATTTACTCTTAAATTTGTTATTTTTATAGATTACACTTCATGTTTAAATATTGTTTTTAGTAAAATTATATTCAAGCAACCAAATGTTATTTGTAAAACTATAACCAACCGCTACTCCAACTTCAAAATTCTTATTGAAGTGAAAAAGTACTTGTTATGGCATGTAGTAGCTCGTATATTATACGACATTATGTGACTGTCTATTTTGAGATATTACACTTTTAGAGCAGATTTGATGGTATGTTTCAGGTGAATTTTTCAATTTGGATAATTTTGCTAGTCCTGACCATATTTAAAATAAAGTACATTCATGTTCTAAATATTCTTTGCAAGAAGTATGGCCAAACACAATTCCATTTACGACTTCAAAAGTTCCAAATAGAGTGAATAATATTATATTTTCATGGCCAAACGCTACTAAAAATAATTTCACTTTTACTTAGTGTATTAGTTGATGTTGTAATTGTTCTTACAATTTATGGATTCAGTTACAATGCAAGCACAAAAAGAGGCACCACCGGACATGCAATGCAAGGATAAGTTCCTGCTTCAAAGTGTCATAGTAAGCCCCAGAACTACGGCTAAGGATATAACTCCAGAAATGGTAAGATTGTTAAAGTAGTGTTCTTGTTGTTTCAAGTGTTAACTGATAGCAATTTCTGTTCTTATTGTTGTTTCTGCAGTACGATTGATGAGAATAAACACGGTTTTATACATGTTTCTTTTGTTCTTTTAGTTCAACAAAGAGTCTGGGAATCATGTTGAAGAGGTCAAGTTGAGAGTGGCTTATGTTCTACCTAAACCACCATCACCTGTGCGGGAGGGGTCCGAGGAAGGTTCCTCACCTAGGGCTTCAATATCTGAAAATGGTGCTGAGTTTCACAATGTGAGTTTTAGGCATCTTTTTCTCATGTTATTGACAATTAAAGATTTATTTTTGGGGGTAAAAAGTTAGCAGAATTCATTTGGAATATGAGTATGCTGTTGTTGTACAGGCTTCAAGGACATATGCTGAGCCACAAGACAATTCATCAGAGGTAGATTTCCTTTTCCAGAATTCACGATGTTTCTTATGGTGACTGATAAGTTCCATGTTTTCTATTATTGTCTATGTTGACAAGTATATACACACGCCAACAAGAACGACTAAGTTTCTAATGTCTTTTTGTGAATTAAACTAAGTGTCTAATGTCTAGGAATCAATGAATTGCTTAGCGTTCATTTTGCTTATTGTTACTGTAGCACATTGTTGGATATTCAGTATATATCACTTGAGTTCCATGACTTTGCAGTTTTCAAGAACTTCCTACACATTGTAATCTACCATATTGCTTTCTGTGCATTTATGGAGAAATTCTATTGATGTTTATTCATCATAAACCTTGTTGTTCATTTGAGTCCGGTTTGAGTTTTTTTTATCCTCAGTTATTTGCATTTTGGCTGCTTGGGATTTTTCTGATTAACAAACTCTTGTGTTCCGTGGTTAGCTTGAGAAAGTATTTTCATCCTGTCTTGTTTGTTTTAACTGTGAGCACACCCTATACCCTCTCAAAGACAAAAAGGAAAAATAACTGCTATGTTTTATAGATGTTATATAGGAAACATTCGTATATAATAATTAGTTCTCTGAGGGGATTACAGATAGATTTTGGTCTGTATTGGTCATCCAGTGTAGGCTGTTTGAAGATAAAGAGATTAGGATGACACTTTTTTTTTAATGGTTGTCCTTGATGGGAATTAAGGTTCAATATGGCTAGCACTGGACAAAATCTTCCTGAATACTACTTGTTTTTTTTGTTTGATTATTCTTATAAATCTACCATCATCCAATAATGCATGACGAATAGGTAGAGAAGCTTTTGTGTTCTCACCTGCTAAATGGAGAACATGAATAGCAAAATGCTTCATTTGTCAAATTAAAGCAAATGCTGTAATTATGAGCCAAATAACTAAAACTTTACCTTATACAAAACAGAACCAAGTTTCTTGAATTTTAGGGGGGATGGGAGACAAGAATGGATAAATTGCTATGATTACATCAAAATCCAAACTTTCAAAATTGATGACCAAATGAAACAACAGAAGGTAGTTATCCAGTATTTGGATGCATCTTAATAAGGATTCTGAGGGGTGTTATAGCAAAAAAAAATATTAAATATAGCAATCTGCAAGACTTTGTTACCATTCTTAAAAAACGTAGGGATCTGAAGACTACAATCTTTTAGGGCCTCTGTGTTTTGAACATTTAGAATTTGTCTGGTTTGTGTCCATTTTTTACACCTTTCCTATGTTGTGTTCTTATACAGTTGCCAAAATTTATCTTGGAATATTTGATGTTTAAATTTTGAATCTATAATTGAGTTTGTGATTGGAAGGTGTTAGCCTGGCATTGGTTGAGGGGTGGTCCATCTTGTCTTTATGTGGTCTAGTATGATCCTCATCTTACGAGCTAAATTTGGGGTTGGCTCAGGTCCAAGATCTATTAGTTAAACACATCCTCAATGGATCCTTATCATGCTCCAAATATTCAGTCTTGGGCATGCGGGGATGTTTAAGATTTTTACACTGGTTAAGGGCATGGGCAGTAGTCTCCTTTTCTTTTTTCTTCTGATGAAATTGATTGTAGTCTCTTAACATGATTCTGTAACTCACCTCTCGATAAGTAGGATTAAACCTGTCAGCATAAGTGGAATCATTTGGTTCAATCATGGTATAAGACACTGTCATTTTCTTGCATATATGGTTTGCTATATATAACTTTTGAAGCTCCAGTCACTTATTAGGTTTTTGTAAATTACAAGTAGCTAATGACTGCTTGTCCCCTACATTATTTTGGCTTCAGCAAACGTAATACTTGTTTAATACAAGGTGGAGTTATGTAAAGTTTGTCGTTATAACCAAACCGATATTTTACACTGTTATTCCCTTTTGAAAGAAAAAGAAGATGCAGCATAGCTATTCAAGAAAAAGAATATTGATGTTTCCTTTTGTTTTATTTGCAGACAAAAGCACTAATTTTGAAGCTGTCAGAGGAGAAAAAATCTGCGATACAGCAAAATAACAAGCTTCAGCAAGAATTGGTAAGGGTCTTAAGATATAAATTTATCTTACTGGTTTTCTTTGTTAGTGTTTTATCAGAATTTTTGTTACGTTTCACTCATCAGCAATCTCAGAGTTGAAATGTTTCTGTTTTCTTTTTCTTTTTCTTTTTGTCCCCCTTCTCCTGTAATGAGTTTCAAGGTTTTTACCTTTCTCTCAAAAAGAGGGTGGTTGGGATAAATTAGATCTTTCTATTGAACATGGTCAGATATGTTTACTACCTAAATGAGTCTTGAGGTTTGTACACATGCATAGAGTAGCCATTAATTCTGTATGATTAGTTAATTGCTATTTTAAGATTAGTGTCAGGCTTCTGCATTTTGAAATCACTAGTTCTTGAACTGAAATTTTATTGGAAAAATGATTGACATGGAACTGATAAGTAGCTTTGTGTTTGTTAGAGCTGCAAGAAATTTATTGTAGCCTTTTGACGTTATCCTTATACTTCACGAACCTTGTTGAGTGCAGGAATTATTGAGGCGAGAAAGCAGCAAACGTCGTGGCGGAATCCCATTTATGTATGTTATTATTGTTGGACTGGTAGGCCTCCTTCTTGGTTATCTACTCAAGAAGACATGATGGCTAAGAGGTTACTGCTACATTGTCAGTGCAGCCAAACTGTTTAAAAAATTCTAGAACCTTGAAGAAAAAGGTGACTAATCCAGTAAAGCTTTGTATCATTAGTTGTTTGATTGACTTAAAAATGTACAAGACAGGTTTTGATCTGCTTTTGTAATGCCTGAGCTCGAGAGTGTCATCGTGTGACTAACTGCATTTAACATCCTTTGCCAACATGTGAAGGAGACATTTTAGTTTGCAAATTAAGTATACTTCCCGTTTATGGACTTTTGTAACTGCGGCTAGTGTTTGTAACGGCTTGGATTTACTTAGACTAGTTTTACAATTACAACCTTCTTTTCTTGAGATTTCATCCTGGTAAGTCGTGCAATTTTCCGGTTTCTGGACTTACAGTTTGGCTTAGGGTGGGGTATATACCATGCATAGTAGCTCATCTTCTCGAAGAAAACATGTTAGCTTGACGAACTGAAAAAACCAAACTACTGTACTGTATACAAATGGATGTGCAAGATTCTGAGTACCTTCTATTTCACGCTGTCAACTTCTTGGCTAGTCATGTACAATATGGCATAGTCCTCTATTTCTTAAGAAGATTTAACTACTCTTTGGATGCATCTTCAGAACCTTGTATCATATTACATCTGACCACAATCTTGCGAAAATCATCCAGGCTCAACTGCAATATACCATATCAAAAGGTAATAAGGACTAAGAGAAAACATGAACTCAACTTAAAAAAGCATACAGCTTGTAAAACAGACATTTGAGGGCAGATAGTCGTGGATCTTACCAAGTAAAAATGATATCGTCATCATTTTTGTGATCTTGGTAGACAGCACTTACGAAATAACACTAAAGCTACACCAAAAGAACCCAAACCAAAATAGCCACAAACAACTGTTCATGTTTCTATAGGCAGTTTTTGGCTTTTTGCCACTGAAGTTCATGGATTTTTTTTTTTATCAGAGCACCAAACAGGAAAAGCCACCTTTTACCCTTTTCAGTTGCAGATGATTGATAGCCTACCTCCACAAAACTAAATGCTACCAACTAATCTGTAAGTCCCCAAACACTTCACAGTAACCTCCATGGTTTGATGTCCAATGAACAAAACCCATCACAACAACCACAAACCCAGTGTAATCCCACAAGTGGGTTGTGGGGAAGGTAGGAAGTACAAAGACCTTAGTTCTACCTTGATGCTGTAGAGGCTATTTCAGTAGACCCTCATAAGAAAAGTAACTGATGCAGGAAAATAAGACAGAAAAAGAGACACCGAAATAGCAGTGTGTAAAATAAGTGTGGCAACAAGGAACAATAACCATGAGAGTTACATATTGTACTTCCCTTGAATAAAAGAAGGTATACCATGGCCTAGTGGTAAATGAAGTGAGTTGAGAACCATGAGGTCTCAAATTCAAATCCAGTGAATGCAAAAAAAGACTAGGTGATTTCTTCTATTTGTCCAAGCCTTGGTGTACACAATTTCTCAGAATCTGTGTTGGTGGAGGGTAGCAGGTAACCCAAGGAATCAGTTGCAAGTTGAGCCGGACATCAATAGAAGGTTTTAACTTTCTAACTTATGGTAGTGACATTATCATTTTTAGATTCATTCTTGTGTTATATATTTCATAAAATATAATATATGCAATTAATATCTACTATATTTAAGCATTAAACACTTGTCGAGTGTGCCCCAATGGCTAGTTTATGACTAATTGCTTTGACTTGTGTACATTCAACTCAAGCGAGAGAGACATAAAAATTTGGTACTAGTAGCACCAATCCCCCATGATCTGTTCTATATTAAATCTTATCAAATACTTTTTTAAACCAAAAAAAACAAAAGATTTGAAGGAGAGGAGTACCTTTCCGTCTCCATTAGAATCAAAACAACGAATCATATTTGCCATGTCTTCATCTGACCATGTAAAATCATGGGAAACTACCATTTTCTGTAGATCTCTAAAATTTATACTCCCTTTTCCAGCTTCTGTGAGAGAGTACCAACTAATTAATGGGCGTATACAATCAATCTAGAATGCTAGCAAAAAATTGATGGTAAAAGTGCGTGACACATCAGATAATGATTTCAGTTGTGGACAAAAGAACTGTATAGCTTATCACTTTCACATGTACAAGATAAAACCTAATAAGCAGACTCAGCATTACCATCAAACTGAAAGAAATGCATAATCAAGTCATCCTCAGTCATCTGCACTCGATTTCTTGTCTGCTGAAAACATTTGTAAAGTACCCAAGTATGAGGAAGGATTATGAATGTTCAGAATTTTCACTGCTTTTAGTAAAGCAAATGATGAAATATACCTGTTGTTTTCTCTTCCTTTTCCCAGTAACATCTTCCTGATTGCAGGTACCTACCTCCTTTTCATTACTGGCCTCTTTTGAAGAAGCTTTTTCATTGCTGACCTTTTTCAAGGAAGCTTTTCCGTTGCTGTACTTATTAGTGGAATCTGCATCAGTGCCTTGCATAGGCACTTTATTTGCAAGATTCAGAAAACCTGCTGAATCTTGTAGTGACAAAGCAATAGCCTGCATATAGATAAATAAATACTTTACTGTTGGATGGCTGAAGGAAAGCTGCAGGCTTATTGACAAGGAAATGTTTTATTCAGCCTCCCACATAAGGGTGATGCAGATGTATCTCTCTGTTTTTATATATGTAGTAATATGCACGTTAATGAGACTGAATAATAATATATGTCACCTGCATTAAGGCGACGTCATCGTCGACAAAATCCATTGTGACATCATCGTTGACAAAATCCATTGTGTTAGACACTCTCTTCTTAGTTGTTTGAATTTTTTTCTTTGACTGCAACAAGAGATCCAACAGACAGCTCAGAAATCAGATTTACTTGGACTCAATTTTCATAGAAACAAGTTTCATTAAAAGAAGGGCAAAAACAAGCCTGTATACAAGAAGTATACCAAAAAGTATAAAACCTTACAAAATGACATGGTTTTCTACGAAAGACATCAAATATGCTATACAAATAAGAACCTCGTGGGTGAAGCAATATGATCAGATGTACATTCATGTATTGTTTGCCCCAGCTAACAACATTAAGGAACATCAGTTTTCTAAATGTCAACACTCACACACGATAACATTAGGAATGTAGCCTGTTTTCATGAAATGTTTCAGAGCCCAAGATGCATATAATAGGCTCTACTGATAGTAGTTGATCACATCATTGGCATAGAATTCACTCATTAAACAATAATCACAAACATAACTGTTCTAAGATGTTAGATTGTTAGTTAAGATTTTCTAATAGACAGTATAAAAGGAAATGTATGACATTCTTGTGTTCCCTTACTTTTCTTATATACTAATAATCATAAGCACTAAAAACAAAATCACAATACATTCTCCTCCCTGCATCATTCAGCAGTTTTTTTCTCCGAATGAAGGTTCAACATAAAGTGTTAAATTGAACTTCAATTGTGAGTGCTCTATATGTCAAATCTTCAATATCAAAAGTATTTCATCACACACTTGCTACCGATGAAGAAGAAAACTTTATGATCCTTTTTAACTCAGCATATCACCAAGCAGAATAACGGTGTCCTCTCATAAAGAATGATTCATTCCAAAGCAAAAACAACAAACTATAGAGTTTCCTGTGCTACTACAGACACCTAACAACATGTAAATCTATATCAAGCCAAAGCATTCAATATTCTTACCCAAAATGACACAAACAAGTAAAAGCTAAGTAAACATAAAGCATTACAATTCCTTGATTATAATGTGTATTTTCCATCCGAAAAATGGTACCTTTTTCAAATTAAAATGTTCAGATACAAAAAAAAAAAAATGTTAGTGCAGGTTTTCGTCAATCAATAAATTTTTTGCTTTAAAAGAAAAAAATGTTGTACCTTTTTCAATTGGGACTTTGAAACTTCAAAGTCCCCATCATCCTCTTCACCTGTATCACAAGAAAGGTCCTCACTTTGAACTGGATCGTAATCTTCATCTTCATCAGCCACTTTCTTTTTTCCCTTTCTGTCCTTGCCTTTCTTCTGGGGTTTTGGGGAAGAACCCATCAAAGAAGTTGCCATTTTGTGCAGACCCATAGCCTCCATTCTTGCTCTGTTTTCTTCGATTCTCTTCATTCTCTGTTTCTCATAATCAGTGAGTTTTCCTGTTCTTTGGGGCTCCGCCGGAGACTCCTCTGAGTCTGAGCTTGAATCTGAGTTTCTCTCTTCAGTTTCTGAGTCCGAGACATTTGATTTTTCCATTTTCAAGAGTATAGTTTGGGATTTTCAATTGGATTCGAAGGATTGCTGTCTCGTAAACGCGGGAACTGCACAAGGGTTGTAACAGTGGCTAATCCGCGAATAGAAGGAAAAAGAAAAATCAAATGAATAGCTAAAAAGGTCCCTTACGTTTAGGCTTATGTTTAAACTAGTCCATTAAGTATGCTCTTGGCATTTTAGGCTGCTTTTAAGTTTTTTTTTTAATGTTTAGTTGACCAAATTTTTTTTTAAAAAAAAATCTTTGATCTCAGTACTTTAAAAGGTTTAAAGTATTTAAGAGTGTCACTAAAATATTATTAAGAAGTTTGTTAACTAAAAAGTAATATTTTAATGTGTTTCATTATTGAAGTTATCAAAAAATAATAATTTAAACTTTATAAAAGATCTCAAAAATGTTGGTTTTCAAAATAATTTTGGCTACATGGGGATCCCAATTCAATTTACCATATCATTCTTGATGGATATGGTATGATTTTTATTTTTTAGTTTTTAAAATTTTCATTCCATGTTCACTATTTTAAATGTGCTTTTTAATTTAATTTTAATTTGTATTTATAATTTTTGATTCAAAATGTGTATAGATAGTTAATATATATATATATATATATATATGACACATCCAAAATTTTAAGTCATAAAGCTTGAATATAAATTCAAGATATAATTACATATGAATTTTATTTGAAAAAGAAATCTTAAAAAAAGGAAAGCCTAATCATTATATTGTTCTTTTTTTTTGGATTTTTTTTAAAGCTAGATAGTTGAATTCAAATTCAAATTATAAAAAATAATACTAATAATTTTTTGAGCAACTTTCGTATATAGCAAACACAAAATTTATATTTGTATCTTATAGCTATAATTTACATAATTGTATTTCATTGTAAATATGATATGTCTATTTTGCTATATATATAAAGTCAAATTCATCGGTGGCCCGCTAAACTTAGCACTAATTTTCACTTAGACACCTCAATTAGGCAATAGTCATTTTAGACACCTTATGTAGGGTTGAGCTGTGTCATTTTGACACTTTTCTGACAATAAACAAAAAATTAAAGGAGAGTGTAATAAACTCGTTGATGACGTGGCAAACAATAAATTAAATAATTATATGTGTTATTTTCAATTCAAAATAATTATAAAATCTATTTAGTAAATAAATTAAAAATATTATTTTAAGAAAATCTCTTATTTCATTACACTCAAAATTTCTTTTGTGTTTTTTCAAAAAAAAGTATTTTTTTCTTTTACTATTTTTCATATTTATTCGTCTTCTTTTTTTTAGTATTGTTTTTTGGAAAGAAAAGAGGGAGAGGAAGAAAGAAGAAGAGAATAAATATGAAATATCGTGTTGGTATCCATTTTTTGGGCAAAAGATGGAGCGAGGTGATGATAGTCTAAGATAAGTAATACAATGAAGAAGAAGAAAATTACTTAAAAATGAATTTGAATAAAAAATTTGACCTCTGATGAAGGAATTTAAGCTTGAAAAAAAAATGGTGGTGGCTTGAAAAATGGATAAGAAGAAGTGAAAATAAAATTAAAAAGTATAAATTATAGGAACCACATATTATAAATACAAAATGACCTTTTATCCCTTTTAGAATTGAAATTACTAAAAATCCCTTAAAATTCAAGGAAGCGGGATACATCCTAATGGCACGGGATACATAAGTCCTGATACATCATATTTTGCATCTGCTGCTATTAATTAGGAGTAATTACCGCGATTTCTGTTATTTGTAACTGAAATCACGTAATTAATGCTATACAGCTTGTGTAACTGATTAGTAAATTCAAATTTTAAATCAGATGATCTTCATAAATCAAAATTATTCTTGTAAAAGTTGATCTGCAAAAAAAAAGGTTTGAAGATGAATATCTCAATTCTGTTGCGGCATTCTAGAATTTGGTTAAGCGATGTTAATTATGAAGGTTACAAAGTTAATGGTATTGTTGTTGGCCATTCCATTTCATTTGTGAATCTGCAAACGCTGATTTTATCAGAGCTTGAGATCGACACTGTTACAAAGGATATTGAAATACGATACATTGTCGAGGGAAGCTTATGTCCATTGAAAATCAAAAACGACATAGGTGTGAAACTTTATTTCGAAGTAAAAAAGAATGCATCTGGAATCGGCATGTATCCGCTTTGTATTGATACAACTGATAAAATTTTATAAATAACTAGATTCAACAGTGGTGCGTTTTCAATGTAACAGTAATGCTATATGAGTTTGTTTGTGTATGTGATGTATCATATACATGCATATTATTGAAAATATATTATATGTTACGTGTATATTGTCTTTTTAGTTATTCAAGTGTACAAAAAAAATGACTTGTTCAATTGTTTACTATATGATTCGTGTATACAGCCTTATGAGTTATAAATTTGATATATTATATTCAAGAGTGTTGTGTTTCAATGTAACAGTAATTAAAGATGAGTTTATTTATGTATATTATGTATCAGAGACATTCATATGATTGAAAATATGTTATATTTTTCGTGTATACTCCCTTATGAGTTATTCTAGTGTCCCAAAACTTGACTTGTTCAAATGTATACTACATGTTTCGTGTGTTTAGCCTTATGAACTATAATTTTGATATATTACATTCTAGTGGTGCTTTGCACTGTAATATCAATCTGTGATTATTTTGTTTATATATATGATGTATCATATACATTCGTATAATTCAAGTTGCTAAATATATAAATGCAATATTTGTACATGTATATATTATAACTTATGTATCATATACATTATTTTTATAAGTGAAAAATACTTAAAACTCAAAACAATAATGTATCATACACATTCGATCTTAAGTGTCATATACTTCATTTTGTAAATTAACTGTCAAAATTACTTAAACTGAAACAATAAAAATTTTGTACCTTGACGTTATAAAGCAACAACTATGTCTAAAACAATAACTTGAAAACACATAACATTAATAACTAACAAACTATTGTAATACCAATAAGCTTTTAAAAAAAACACAAAAGATAATTGTCTTCAACACAAAACAACATAAAAACTTGTTCATCCCGTCTCAGCTAATTACTAATCTATGTTAACAATGTCATCTTCAGTTGGTGTTGTGAATTACCATCTCCAGATTTACACTCTTCCATAATATTTGTAAACTCACACGATGAAGAGAAAGAAGGAGACTAAAATGTTTACCCTTTAAAAACTTAGAAAATCTGGTTAGAAAGAAGGAGACTTCTACAAAATATCAAATAGATATGGCTGCAAATTTGTACTTGAATTCAAATTTTGTTAAACTGCAAACGTGTGGAATGAGGAATTAAAATTAGAAAATTATACACCTAAAATGTAGGAAAATAAAAAAAGAATAAAAATTAATATGGTAAATTTTAATTGGGGCTGTTAATGGGGAAGTGGGTAGCTTGAAAATATGATTTTATTTTAGTAAAGTAAAACTTGCCAATTGGGTGAAAAAAGGGTGGAACATCTTTATGTATCTTTCATATTTTTTTAATTGGGGGAATAATGGATTTTTGAAATTTTTATAATAAGTAGGGATAAATGGTTATCAAGATAATTAAAGGAGTGTAGTTAAGTAATTTTTCCAATTAAAAATGGCTAAATTAAGCCTTTCACGCGCTATTGTTGAGTGCGTCACACGCACTTTGACATGTCAGCAAAAAGTGTCAAAACGACACAACAGAACCCTAGATGAGGTGTCTAGAATGAACATCATCTAATTGAGGTGTCTAAGTGAAAATTGGTGTCAAGTTTAGTGGGTCAACTATGAATTTGAACTATATACAAAATAAGCAATTGTATAATTCTTTGGCTCCTCTTCAGATTGGTATAATTTCACTGACAGCCATTTGTATAAAATTATTGACAGCCTCTCAATTCAATTTCATGTGTTTGTTTATTTATATAAAATTTGACCTTATATATAATTATCACTAATTCCATTGGGAGCATTATCTACCTTGAGCCTATAATGAACAAATCGAATGAAAATTAATAAGGCTCGGTAAAAAAAAAAGCTAAGGCAAGAAACAAGGCCGTTAAAAACAACAAAAAAAAGGATGGGCTTATTCTTTATGTGTAGCACACGGTTCAAGAATATCAACCCTTCCCGTCTTTATCACTTACCTCTGTTATTGGACATATCCTCTTCTCTCTCCCCCTTCCCATCGACAATGTCGAATCTTGATTTCTTCCTTCAATTACACTGCTAATAATCCCTTATGAATACCCATTATCCCATTTCATCTATGGCTTCTTCCCTAGATTTTGATAGATTTAAGGTATCCCTTACTTCCATCTGCAGTTGCCACTCTCATCATCTTCCTTCTACATCATCTCAATTTCACCATTCTTCCACAAGAACCTTAAATTTAAGCCGACCCAGATGTTCAATTTCAAGAATTGGCTTATTTCTTGATGGGTCTAGAGTTACAGAGGTTTCGGGTATACCAAGAAGCATCTTCTTGAAACACCCTCGAATTATCACAGCTGTTGCTCGTGCTGAACCAGGCCACCTTTTTGATGATGAATCCAAAGAGGTAAAATTTATTATTATTTTTTTTTTCAGTTTGTGTAGGGATAAGTATGATTGATATCTCTAGTTTTAAAGAATTCTTGATATGTGACAAATTGCATGTAAGTGAGATAGTAATAGAATGATTTGACTCTAGCTTTGTTGTCTTCTACTTTTGATTGTCCTTTAGATTAAGCCAAGTGAACTTTTGCAAATATCAGGCTAGTAATGGTTTTAGTTGTTTGTCAGGACAAACAAAATTGCCACTTCTCATCTGATGATACTGAGTGGTTCAGATTTTAACATTAGTTATAGTTCTAAGTTGACTGTTGCATTAGCCAATGGGCATGGTGGCTGTTTGATCAAATTAATCATATTAGGGAGCTGCATAAGATTTTCTTTTTCTTATCTTGGTTTGATCTATACATGTCATGGTCAAAGCAAAACTGTCTGGAAAATCTGTCAATGTTAGAGGGGTGCAACTCGAGTGCAGTTGCTTTGGAGAAATATGGTTTAGGAGGACTGGTTTGTAGTTGGATAAACTATGATATGTTTTTTGTTTTCCCAAAGATCCTTCATTTTTTAAAAAGAGAGTTAGTTAATATCCTCATTTATGCACTAGTGTTGTTAATATTTCTTTCATCAAAGTGTTTTTTAATATTTTCTATTTTATCCACTAGTGTTGTTAACATTTCTTTCATCAAAGTGTTTTTTCCATTTCTTTATGATATTATGACGCAGAGGAATAGAGCGGTTATTTTTAGTGGACTTAGAAGTCTAAAGTTTGTTGTTTTATTAGGAGAAGGTCGATAGTCGAAGATGTATCTAATCGGAGAAAGAAAAAAAATTGTATAGCTACCTTTAAGAGAAAAGATCAGGGGGAACACTTTTGAGGATAAGATTATTCATTGGAGAGACAGACGTTTGAGGTGAGAGTTTAAAACAACTACGCTTTACTCCTAATTAGTTTGAGTCAGCCATATGAATCAATTTAATCTTAACGTATGTCATCTTATACCAAATAAAAATAAGTTATATATATATAGCAGTAATAATAATAACACATGGTAAAAAAATACTAAATTTCTCGATATCTTTACTGGCCAAATTCTCTTATCAGTCAAGAAGGGAAAGGGTATTTTTCGGGATCTATTATTACAATTAATGGGCTAAAGGCTTCTGAGTGATTGAGGGATGCAGCAGAGTGAAATGTGGACAAAACTGAATCAACAGGTGTTTATTTTAAAAACTGGTATAATGTTAAATGTAGGTGTGTAAGAGTAGGGGGGAGGGTCCATTATCCACCGAGTTTCGAATGGTCATCCGGTATTTATCAGTTTTTGAGAAAAGGTGTATAGCCTAAGTGCAATTGCTGACTTGATACTCCTAAAATTCACGTGTAATACTAGGTGATTTGCAATGTGATAAACGTTCACGTTTTCCTGAAACTGTAATTAGAATGTGTATGAGTATTAGTGTGGAATTCTGACTAGAAAACTATAAATATCTATAAAGCCTGTAACCATTTCTATTACCAATAAAGAGAAACTATAACCATTTCTTATTCTGGAGTATCTTTGGTTGTGTCAGTTGTTAGTTTGTTGTCCCTTTTGTAATGCTCAAGGGAAAGGCATTAAATATGGGGATCTGCCTTTGCTTTTTGATCCTGTATTCATTGTTTGATTTTGGGTAAGTGTCCAAGTCATTGTTTAACTTCTGGGGTCGCTACTTCCAAGATTAGCATCAGAGTCAATGTAGCAAGACAACATGTATTATGTTCAGACTTTTCAGATAATTGAATTGGAACCACTGAGATAATTATGTTGTAGGAAGTTAACAAATGCAACAGTACACCGGCGGGGGAAATTTCCACTTCTGAACTTGAGGAGAAAAATAGTCAATTGAAGAAAAGGGTAGTCTTTGGACTTGGCATAGGTATTTTAGTCGGAGGTGTGGTATTGACTGGAGGATGGGTTTTCACTGTTGCCCTTGCTGCTGCTGTTTTTGTGGGTGCACGAGAGTACTTTGAACTGGTAAGGAGTCGTGGAATTGCTGATGGAATGACTCCTCCTCCTCGATACGTATCAAGAGTTTGTTCTGTCATCTGTGCTCTCATGCCTGTAGTCACTCTGTAAGTCATTAACATCTTTCTCAATTTTCTCTCTCTAATAAGAAACATACTCCTTATTTTCTGGTAAACCACTTTAAACCTCGGAAGACACTGTGCCATTAATTTCTTGCCACAGATATTTAGGAACTAGAACCATAACAACAAGATTTCATGCCAGCATCATCTTTTGTATGTTGATGGATCATTGTTGTTATCTGGACTGCTTGGGCAAAATTTATTTTTAGCATTTACTTTTATGTTACCAATTCAATATTCATTCTTTTTGGGAATGGTAACATATTATATTCATCAACTATTAACTGTTCTTTACACCAAAAATGAAAAAGAGAGATGCAGGTACTCTTGATTTTCTGGGTTGAGCGGCTCATGCCTTCAAAACATCTTACATTCCTCTCCTTCCAGATTGTCCACCATATGCAAGCTAGAATAATCTTCCACCATTCCTTGTGACCTATTTTTCCCTTATTCCGTTGCAGGTGCATATTAGGCCAAATTTAGAAACGAATGGCCATTGGTTTCAGCTTCCTGTTGGAATAGAAAGCATGTGAGACTGTACTGAAAGCCTCTTCTCTGAAGGATTTCCTGTGTGAGCAAGCTTTTCTTATTACTAGCCATGAAAAATAAACAACTTTAAAAGGTGCTTTGATCTTCCAAATCTATCTCCAGCGCCAGAAGGTGCAATGACTGCCCTGTAGATGATAGATAGTTGTATGCTTCTCTGACTCTGCATTTTGAGCTGCTGTGTCCTGTTCATGTAAGAGAGTCATCCTATAACAGTGTGAGGAATCCGGTGACACTAGTGATTTCGCAGTCATTGATAATTCTTTTGAAAGATATGTTCCAACCTTTCAGCCCCAAGCTTCTTCCATTGTGGCATTAGGTGAAGATGAAACTTGAAAGGATAAATAGATCAGGGAAGAGGTCTCTCCCTATGTTCCATGACCAAGCCAGTCATCATTCTAGAGGGAAATTCTCCTCCCATTTTCCATCTTGAAACTCTGTTTGCTACAAACTCCTTCCAAAGATTCCTGGTGGATTTCCAGTTGCCGACTCCATATGATTGTTCTTACTGGTTTGGTTACCCCAGTATCCCAGTTGCTCATACCTGCAACTTATGACCTGTCTCCATAAAGCTTCCTTCTCAATGTTGCATCTCCAAAGCCATTTCATTAAGAGACTCCTGTTATCTAGTGTTAGATTTCTATGCATATCCTTTGCTAATTAAGATTAACGCAAAATCAATTTGCAGTCTCATTGATCCTTGCCAGTATATTCAAGGGATAGAACCCCAAGAATTTTTTTTGTATATCATATCCCTCAATTTGTGTTCTCTCATTGTACCTAAAGAGATATACTCAACATCTTGAAAAAAGTCTAAACAGCTTATATTCTGACATAACATATGGACGACACGAAGTCTCTTATCATTAGGTCAATGATTGCGCAGCAGAAAGACCTTGCATTTTACAAAATGTCCACCTCCACCATGCATTCCATTTGCTCTTTTCCTTCTTATGGTCGTAAAGGCCTGCATAACTTTGACTGTATATGCCAGTCTTCAGAAAATTAGGCCAATAATGCTAGAAAATGATGAATTGATCCATCATTCATATATTTATTGGACAATAGATTGCTCTGGGCAGTATTGGGTGGAACGTCTTCTTTTCTACTCTTTTTTGGGCTCCAAATGTTTTATGAATTGAGACTCATTTTATCCTCCTCAATATAAACCTGGAGGCTTGAACCTGCCCACTTGATTAAACCCTTTCTGTTGTGGTTGAACTTGCTTGCTTAGACAGTCCATGTCTTTTGCTTCATCGCTTAGGTTAGAAACTGCACGATTTATCACTTCAAGAAGAATTAAGAGATATAAATTTACAGAGCTATAAATGTCATCTTAAAGGTCTTCTCCATGCACCACTTGGTGAAATTCTCTTGATCATGCTATCACTATTTTTGGATATGCCTCATGTGCAAAATTTAAACTCAGTTTCTACTTCTTGCAACTGTCCTGAGTATGTAGCATGACATTTTCTATTGTGAGAATAGATGAGAAATGTATTTGTTATATTTTGGAAAGAAAGAACTATATATATTAAATGCGAGATGGATTTGAAATTCTTCCATTTCAAATTTTCTATGCTATGCATTTGAAGGGAAGAACCCCCCCCCCCCCCCAAAAAAAAAAACGTAAATGGATGGTGGTTTTTCAATTTGATTGGGAGTAGCTTGATAAGCAATCTCAAAGGCAGCAATGTAATATCTTAGAGTTGTTTTAGTTATTATTTCTTTCTTGTTTGTTTATGATTTATTTATTTTCTGGAATTTGTTAAGTTGAAATTTTTCTTATTGATTGATCTTCTAACTGTGTCAGATATTTAGGTCACATTGATGTTTCTGTTACCTCTGCCGCCTTTGTTGTTGCAATGGCGCTGCTGATGCAAAGGCGAATTCCTCGTTTTGCTCAACTTACCAGTACCATGTTTGGGCTCTTCTATTGTGGATATCTCCCTTGTTTCTGGGTTAAGTTGAGATGTGGTTTGGCGGTACCAGCTCTTAACACTAGTAAGAATCTATGCCCTTTGTTCTGATTGTCAAGAAATTGTAGAATATATACGTATGTGCTAGCCCCCATAGCTTTGGTCTAGTGGTAACAGCACAACACATTATGTACGAGTTAGTTGCACGTTACAAATTCGAAAACTGCTGCATATATAAGCGCTTGATATTGAAGTGGAGAAAGGTAGACGGGAAGTACATGCACACACATTGATCTGTATTCAAGTTACTCATCAGTGTGCTCCAGTGAGACACCGACATGTGTTGGACACGCACAAGTATGTACTTTTGAAATTCCAGACATGGTGTCTCCTCCGTAGAACATAAAGTTCCTTAATTTCCGTCCTTCACCCTTTTTTGCATTATTTTTTCCCTTATAAAAAAAAATCCTTATCAAAAAAGTATGCCTAAATGGCCCATCCAAAGGATATTGTGTTTTATATTGTTTTCCTTACTAGCCAAGGGTCTTATCAAAAACTATCTCTACCTCACGCAAGGTAGGGGTAAGGTCCGCATACACCCCGCCCTCCCCAAACACCACATATGAGATCACACTGGATATGTTGTTGTATTGCCTTCCTCCATTATTTAGGGACCAAACTGAATTTTTTAAGTTGTGAAGAAAAAACTAGATCAAGCTGAAAATATTGAAGAAAAATTGTTGGCAGGATGTTAAGAATCCATAAATTGATGGAGTGTGCTGTCTTATGTGTTTTGAGACACGACTCTCACCCTATTGGGCAGACGAGTTCTCCAAAGCTTTTGCTGTTTCCAAAATTTGTTTTCTTTGGGTACAAAATAGAATAATGTTCTTAGAATAAAGGTTCTATATGTCCTCTATTACTAGCTTTTGGTGTAATCTAAATAGTTTCTTTGAGCTTGAGAAACTATTAGAGTTTATTAACTTTCTGCAAGAATAATCTCCAGTCGAGTGTTTACATCCATACTTTGTAAATTAATTAAATTTACTTCATAAAAAACATGTTAGTTTATTATTTTGATTTTAAATACTTTCTAAAAATCTTTTGAGTAGACTAATTTTTAAAACTCTTTAGTCGATATGGCACAAAGTGGAAAGGTGAAAGAGATTTGTCTATAGAGTTGAACACTTATGTTTTTTCTTATTCTGAATGTACTGAGTATCCATTGAATTAGTTGAGATACGTGCTAGCTGGCTTAGACGCTACGGTTATTTAGAATTTAATTTGAAGCCCAAAAAACAAGGTAAGAAAGGTGGGGAACAGCGGCCTCACACAAAAAGATTTGTCTAAGCAATCTCAAAGAGATTTTCAATAAGTCAATACCAAGATTTTCTTTCTGCGCCTACTGATGTGATGATAATTCAGAAGCATAACTTGATATCTGATATAGTATTTGAAAATTCATTGCTGTTGGTTTCTCCAACAGCTGATCAGCAACTGGTCTTCTGACTTTTATTGGCATTTCAATTGGTTTACACAGGACTGGGAGCATCATGGCCTATCATTCTTGGAGGCCCAACTCAGTGGACCGTGGGGCTTGTGGCAACCTTAATTTCAATCAGTAGTATCATTGCAGCAGATACATTTGCTTTTGTTGGAGGCAAGGTACTTTTCACTGTTGATGTTCTTCCTTCAAATCACTTCTATCCTTGTTCCGATGTCTCTGACTAACCCTCCAAAGAAGGTGTTTTTCTTGTTAAAAGTGCAGAACTTAACCTGGCATTATCATAATTATTAGTACATCTGTCTTTGATGTCATTCTATCTTTGATGTCATCCTATCATGAGAAATGTGATGGACTTGATAAACGTTGAATTGGCTTGTCTTGAATCCTCTGCTGTTCTTAACCATGGAAGTATTAGTTAATTATTATAGATTCAAATGACTATTTAGGATCCATTCTAACTATTTAAGATATACGTTCTTTGATTTTGTTTTAAAGTTGCCTGGAACATTGGCCATTTTAGCAACTTAGAAACTAATGCTAGCAAATGAGCACAATACTGTAATAATGATTCTACGAAGAAGTATGCATCTCTTGGTTTCCCCTTTTCTTATCTCATTCCTCTTATTGTCCTTTAATCATTGTATGCTGGAAGTACAACAAATATTTGTTAGTTCTAATGTATTTCTATATGGATTAGTGGAACAAATCCAAGTAATTCAGATGTCTCTTTGGTGGGCTTATGAGGAAAGCACATAACATAGTTGAAATCTTTTCAGGCTTTTGGTCGGACACCACTTACTAATATCAGCCCAAAGAAAACTTGGGAGGGAGCTCTTGCAGGCTTAGGAGGTTGTATAGCCACTTCTGTGGTGTTATCACGAACGTTCTGTTGGCCTATATCCACATTAAGGTAATTGTCTTTTTAATGGTATCATTATGCAGTGCCATCTGTTTGAGACCTTTTGATATGTCTATAGCTGCAGCCTGCAGTAAGAATATTCTCCTTGTAGGAGGGAGTATAGATAGGGTCGGGGAAAGGATTTGATTGGTCTCAAATTTATCTTCTTCTTTTTTCCATTTCAGGGAGGTAAGCTAATAATTTTTTTCTGATGAAACTTAAAGAATGGAATGATATACAGTGGCTCTTTCACCTTTTGGCACAAGCTCTATTTCCATAGCATTTCTCCAAGTGCCATTTCAAGTCTTAATAACTATATATAATTATGTATATTCATGTAAAAGTTGGTATATTCAGCAGGTGTAGTGGGATACTATTAGTCATAAGAACTTGTCATGACGGTAGTATTTTAGTTGCCAAGCGCTTAGAAACCATATTATGAGTTCTATTAATCCAACTTTTGTTTTGAAAATCCATGTTTGGAATTTATTCCATCCATTAATTTCTAAACTAGTACATCATACAGAAGAAAGAGCCTTTTTTTTCTCTTTTATTGTGGGTGTTTCCACATTGTAGATTGGTGCAGTTTGAGCCTTTAAAATTTTATGAACCTCTAAATTGGGAAATTATGTCTTTCTGAATTGATATTTGTGTCTTAACGGCATTTCAGTGCGGTAGCTTTTGGATTTCTGAACTTTTTTGGATCTCTCTTTGGTGACCTCACTGAGTCGATGATCAAACGTGATGCGGGTGTGAAAGACTCAGGATCTCTCATTCCTGGACACGGTAACTACCTCTGTGCCTCTTATTGTTCTCAGTGATAAATTGATCTCTCTAGTGGTGCCATAACATAGTAGGCATATTGTTTTATCCCTAAACAATAAGTATGGACTCTCCGGAAATTGAATCTATTAAACAATTTACCATCTTAAGGTGAACTCTAGCCTCACTGCTATAAAATACATCAGTTACTTGCTGTAATAAATATCTATTCAGAATGAATTGGTCAATGTGTATAAATTTGAGAAAATAAGCAGTATATTACAGTTTAGGTAAGTTCATTTCCTTTTTCTTGTACCTATTTTGTAAGGTTATTTGATTGAAGAAACTACCCAGCGAAAAGGAGACGTTGGGGTGTGTAATTATAGTTACCGAAAACCAATTACTATAATACTTTCAACAAACTACGGAAACATCACTGATCTCTATCATGTATATCAGCCATGTTACACCAAAATGTTTAGCAAAAAGAGATGATTCACCTAATTAGTAACATGGCTTTACTATAAATATCAAAAAAAAGGAGTAAAGTGGCTTTACTCTAACGCCTTAAAGTAATTGAGGAAATCAATTGAAGAACTTTGAATTTACCTGGAGCCTACTTGAAGTACTGACTATAGGCATGCCTTAACTATAGAGATTTTTTTTCCTAATGTTTATAACAGTAATATTTTGAGATTCTTCAACTCCGCTTCATTAGCCTCATAATGTAAGTGTGTCATCTGCGTATAACATGTGGGTCATTGTGACTGGTGTACCACTGATAATTCCAAGTTGATGTATAGTTGAACCAGTGTGGACTTTTTGCAGTGTTCTGCATTCAACTTAGTTTCCATCACTAACAAAATAATAGAAATGTGCCTCAAACTCCTCTAAGAATGAAACGATCCTTATGGACACGTATAGTAAGCCCACAAAACTTAACTTCAGAATCGCAAATTTTAATTCAATCCAGTTTTCTCCTAAAACCATATCGTTGATGAATTTATTCAGAAATCCCCAACTGACGGTGTTTCATGCCTTCTCAAAGTCTAACGTGAACTTCCTATTTGGTCCTTGCATCTAAGAATTTCTGATGTATTACTGTGTCGTGAACGGAGTATTGTTATTCTTCATTTATCAACTTCCATTTAATTTGTTATCAGTGGCGGCTCAAGTTAATTTTTGGCCTAAAGCCAAAAACAAATGGGAGGTTTAGCTTTTATTTTTCTTGTGGTCTTAAACATGTCATGTGGTAGTTAATTTTTAAAATTGACAAAAAAGAAAAAACATTCTTTGATGTTTCGAAATGAACTAAAAGAAAGACATAATATAATCTTTTTTTTGGTTAAAAATACTTATATTAATTCTATTATTACTAAAAAATGGGGCGCTCAAATTTTGGGGCATAAGACGGATGCTTCATTTATAATGACATTAAGCCTCCGTTGTTTGTTATAAACAGGACTAAAAATGGCAGGTTATTAATGATTTTCTAAATGGTGTCATTGCCATCATATGGACTCAGTAACTGAAACTTTTTGGGTTGGCATGGCCGAAGAGCAGTTTAAGACCAACAATTGATGCCATATGTTGAGTTGTCAAACTTGAGCATAACAATCCAGGATGTACAATCAATGTAAACCTACTACTTCTTGTAGGTCTTTTCGCTTTATTAACTTTCTTAATCCCCATCTGATATGACCTTGGGTAGAGCTATACTGGATTCTTATGGAATACTTACCCAATTCGAAATTTATTATCCTTTAGCATTGTTATCTTAGCTTCGCGGCAGATCTCTTGGGTCTTTCTTGAGCAAATTAATGCATTTTTTGCAGGAGGAATACTGGACAGGGTGGACAGCTACATATTTACGGGTGCATTGGCGTACTCCTTTGTGAAAATGTTGTTACCACTTTATGGAGTTTGATGAACCTAATAACAATTCCCTGCAAAGAAAAAAAGATACTCCCATGTCCGTTTTCTTAACTGAAGGAGCAATCACAAGGTGCCATAATCAGTACTGTAGAGCAACATCCGACATATGAGGTTTGATTGTGAAGGTAAGTTAAGTTCCACACGAAAGGATTCTGTTTGCATTGCAACCCAATGAGTTTCTACTGTGTCATATACCTGATTCCTCGATTGAGGAAGTGACGTTAGGGTGAAACAACAGGGAAAGAATCCAGCAATCCGCGTGATGTTTTGAGGATATCAGTGTTGAGTAGCTCCCCATTGTGATATTAGAATCATTGCATCATTTTGATTCTTTAAGTGTACATTTTGTTTCGTATTTTAGAAATGTCCGCAAAAATTATTAGGTTTATATCTTGATTTATTCAGTCTTTGCTTAATTTGTTGATATAATTACAGGTGCCGCGACATCTTAATAATGGAAATGGCAAGATTTTAACATTTTTCCAAAGTCATGTTAGAAAATATTGAATGATTTGAGTATGTTCTGCTCTATAAGCTAAGATCTAAACATGTCTTTTAGCCTGAAATTGTTAATGTCTAAAAGGCATTTTACAATCGAATATAGATTGCAGGATAAATCATAAGCATGTTATGTAGATTTGGGGGGCAACCAACTGCTATGAAATGCATGGATACTAATTTATGAACCAAGACTTTGTTCTTCTTCATGGTACAAATTGTTCATTTTGGCCCAATAAATTTTTAGGGAAAAATTTGCAAACTAGTCACAATTCCTAACTTAATTAGTAAAAACATCTACATTTTAAAATAACTATTGAAAATGTCAATATTTTAGAAAGTGAATTGTATTCAAGTTTTATTTTTCAAAATAGTTCAATTTTGAATCAAATTCTACACCCGTTATTCATTTACACTTTTTCATATGCTTCAGTACTATTAAATTTATTTTTCATTTTTCACTTTTCAATTTTTTTTCTTTTTTATCAACTTTTCAGTTTTCACCATCCTCATTTTCATCATTCACTTTTTCTCTTCTTTTTTTTTCTTTCATCAAAATTTCACCATTATTATCTCTCATTGTTGAAGATGAACTAATTATTCAAGTTCGTCACAATTTGTTTAGATCTATCAATTAATCAAAAAATCTCTCAATTAATAAAGGTATTTTTGAATTCATCATTTATTTTGCGAGATTTTGTTTTTAAAATCACACATTTATTTTTTGTATAAAATACAGAAATTTCATATATTTCGGCCTAAATTGTATCTTATCCTGAAGTTTCCATAATTACAAAAATCTCAGATTTTTCATTGCTTTCTGATATACATTATTTAATGAGAGGGATGTATTCGAGAGGGGTAGGGATGCATCCAAGAGGGATTTTTATTTTAGATGATAGAGAATTTTAGAGATTATGGTATCTTTTAAGTTTGTGAATTTATGAAAAAAAAATTTCCTTATTTGTATCGCCTTCCTATGGATTCGTCGGAGGTGCATATACACTCTTTCATTTGAAGCTTGTCAGCTTATAAGTCTGTTACGTTATTACTTCTAACGAGCATTCCATGCACCATGAATGTTACATAAATACCCTTTTTGAGGAGCCTCTGTCGTATAACGAGAGTTCGATTCTAATATCATAATTGTTATGGTTCAAGATTGGTACTTATTTTCCACTTTGGCCCAATACATTGAATTTGTTTGTTGGGTCACACATGTTGAGCCTAAAGGCATGTGTATTATGTAATTTCTCTCTTATTTTGATGTAAGATTACTTGAGGTATTCGTTTGCACATTCTCTTTGAAAGTTTATAGAGTCGAATGGTGTCACATGAGTTAGGTCACTTTCTAATACTCAAACGTGTCAACTAAACAATCAAATCAACAGAAAAAGGTGGCAATTTATTAGGAGAAGAAAGAATAATGATGTAGAATATAATGGATCAATTATGCTTCATCTAAGATGTGGAATGTTGACCTATAAATCTATTTAAAAAAAGAAAAAGAGGTTGTGTTAATGGTAACGTTTACGTGGAAAAGGAACATATTTTGGTACTTGTGGTAGACCATTAAATTTGTGTCCAAAAGAAGGTCAATTTCACTCGCAATTGAAGATTGTGAAGAGCATAACCAAATTATTATTATTAACTTTAAAGGTGGAGGTAATTTGTAAGAAATCAATTCAATACTTCATTATTATCTTTCCGAGGTAGATCGATTTTATGTCTCATTACTCAAATTATTTTAAAATGTGGTCTTTCCAAAGGAGACTGATAAAATATAATACGATCTCCGTCTCAATTTATGTGATATATATTTTTTTAGCCAATTTTAAAAACAATTATTTCTTTATTAAGTAAATATTTAATGACACTAACGGCATTATACTCAAGTTAGGTTTCATTTATTTATCAAAGTCTGCAAATGTGTATTCTACTATTTGAGAATTTATTTATTTTAAGATAGTTTTAAAACATGCAGAGTTTTTCATAGTTATTAAATTTCGTGTTAACTATACCATATAAATTAAAACGAAGAAGTATAGATCATAGGGTCATTGTTTTCTGTTCAAATCCTAACTAGGTATAGGAGATCATCACGGATCAAATATCACCAAAATCAACTTGCTTACGTTTTCTTCTAATTCCACTTTTTACTTTGTCACAATTCTTGGAAAAAATGAGAGTTAATAAATGAGACAAAAGAAGAAAAAAATCACATGTTTCGAACAGAATACTAATTTAAAAAAGACTAAATATTAGTGATCAAGTTGACAATAACACTAGAGGAAGAGATTTGAGACAAAAATAAACAAAGCAAAAAAGACATTTATATCATAGTTGACTATATATGATAAGTTGGAGCAAGTAGTGGACATTAAAGAAAAGACGGCACCATGCAAATGGAGTAATCCCAAACTCAATCCACAATTCAAATCTGGCCACCCAAATTCCCTAACATGCAGTCAGTTTCGATTTGTTTTTCTGATTTTTGATTTGACATAAAATTTTAAAAAAATAAATAAAATTTTCACATGGTCCTAAACATATTATATTAAAAATTAAAATTAAAAGATCATAAAAAATTATTCTTTTTGAATGATATTAAAAGAAAATTAAGATAAACAAACTGAAACGGAAAAAAAGAAATGACGTATATAATGAGTCTTGAAGTTGAAGAGAGACATTAAAGTGATGTATCTTTATTTTCCTTTTTGTCATGAGCCATCCAACGAAGAAGCTAAGGAGCTATAGGGGTAATAGGGATGTTATGTTGGCATCAAGGGGCCTACAATATATGTAGATTTTATTACAAGAAAGAAGAAAATGAGTGCTTGCTTTAGGGTTTTGGTATATAGTAGTAAAACACAAAAAGAAATATATGTGGGGAGGAAACAATGCGTTCTTCTAAAGCTGACTATCAAATACTAATGGATTGCAACCAACCATAAAGTTTTCTCTATTTTCTTAATTTTCATATTTTTAAAAAAAATGAAAACACAAAGTTACAAACGTGAAAACAAATTATCATGACTTATAATCTAGTGATACCAATTGGAGGGTAGATTTTATAACCTATTTTCCGTCGTCTCGATTTATGTAATACATATTTCGAATTACAAGATTCAAATATGTCTATTTTACCGTAAATTTTTTATGTGTCTTTTAAATAATTTGGATATTTAACGTGTGAAAGAATTTTACATCAGTGGTTAATAAGATGGGTGGACTCCTAATAAGGTTTGGCAATCCTTCTTCCTTTGAGCTAGCTTTTGAGGTCTGAGTTAGGCCTAAGACCTAATTTTACATAGTATCAGAACAGGGTCTATCTCACCCGATGTTGGGCCTCCAAATTTAAAATTGCCCATGCACCAGATGCTAAGCACTAGGCTTGCGGTGTGGTGTTAAAGAATGACAAAAATTCCACATCGGTGATTAACAAGATGGGTGGACTTTTTATAAGGCTTGGGCAATCCTCCTTTCTTTGAACTTTTTTTTTGGGTGTGAATAGACATAAAAAACCTAATTTTACAACATGCGATTTATAATACTTTTTACGTAGTTTAAGATTTCATTTACCTAAATCAGGACAGAGAAAGTAATTTATATGACACATATTTCGTATTACGAGATTTAAATATATTTATTTTTCAGTAAACTTCTCATGTATCTTTTAAACATTTTGAATGTTAAATGTACAAATTTCATATGCAAATTCCGCTTAAATTCAAACTGTTTGATTTAAAGAAAACGAAATATATCACATAAATCAGGACAGAGAAAGTAATTTATATGACACATATTTTGAATTACGAGATTTAAATATATTTATTTTTACCGTAAACTTCTCATGTATCTTTTAAATGTTTTGAATGTTCAATGTACAAATTTCATACGCAAATTCCGATTAAATTCAAACTGTTTGATTTAAACAAAAAAACAAAATATATCAAAGTAGTTTGTTTTCCATTTTGCCATTTCTTCCCCCACAACGTATAAACAAACAAACAAACAAAAAGGTTTAAAAAGAAAGGGAAGGGAAAATAGTTGGAGAGATATGGTGGTCAAGGCAAGCATCTAGTAAAGTTCATATATTGGTTAGTGAGTGTGTGGGAAGGTGGGAGTTCTTTTGTATTTTAATTTTTAGAGGAGCCAAAAAGCCAAAAGCAAAGAGTCATGATGACAACTCTTTTAAAACTTTACTAACACCCATGCAATATAGCAAGCAGATCATACTTTTATTCCCCATATGCCCTAGCTAAGCTTTGGATGCCTTCACATGCTTCCATTGATCTTGTTACTAATATATATAATCACCGTATTCGAGTCAGTTTATATCTATCTCGATTAATTTTACAGAATATATATCAGTATTGATATCAGATATAACTTTGTTCACTGTGATAAAAACAGATGAAAACAAATCGCCTAATATTTTTATACGTTAAATCACACTTTGTCTTTTTAGTTTTTCTTCTATATTTTAAACACCATTATTGCTTTTGAATAATTAATAATATTATGTACCCCATGTGAGTTAGTTTACATTTGATCAAATATATGTAACACCTACTTGTGCCTTTAATATTAAATATATTTATTAGCATGTGTTATTGGTCGAAAGGTTTATAAAATTGTTAGAGCCTTCCAAGAATCAAAGAAAGATCAAGGCAAACGCGTTAATTAAGTTGATATATAATCTTGAGAATAATTGACTTCGACAATGATTGGGAATTTAATAAATGATAATAATGCATAATTTTAACACATTTATTAAAAAGAAAAGACTGAATTATTTTTTTGTGTGTTATTTTTAATAAAATAAAAGAAAATTGTTACAGTTTCTCTTAATAGCTAAGGATAGAATCATAGAATATATTCGTTAGCACTCTTATCATAATCTTTAACCAAAGACTTTTTCCAATCTATCTTTCCTTTATTATGTTTCTTAATTTAATTATGGGAATTAATTTGGCTTATGAAATA